GGGGGGCGGGACGCGGGGCAGCTCCCCCGGGAGCCGAGGCCGCTTCCCACCGCCCCGCTCCCGGCCCGCTCCCGCCAGTGCCCTCGTTTTTAAAGCCCGACGGTGGCTTTTCGGAGCTCGGCGCGGGAGGATGAGAGCCTCGCTGCTTCCCGCTCCCCGAGGTAAAGTTCACAAAGTTCACAAAGCCGCCAGCGGTAACTCCCAAAAGAGAATCGCAGGAAATTACTCGCGAAACTCCCGAATCCGTTGTTCAGATAAAGACCCCACTGCAGCGACGTGCTCCAGCTGATGTGTGAGTAAAAGCTGATTTCAGATCACGCTGGTCCGTTATCTCTAAATGAGTTCGGTTTTGAGTGACTGATGTTGGAGCTAACTTTGCTGGAAGCAATTAAGCAATTAAGAACTTTGCAGGAGTCATAAAAATACAGTTGAAGTCATCAACAGAGTGGAGTGTTTTACTTCTCTTCCTTGCAGATAGACTTGGATTAGTTGTCACATGAATGTCTAAGAGGAGTGTGTAAATTGTGGGTGTTTGAGGCTGTGTGGTCATTTAATTGAAGCATTAACTATTGTCTACAAGAAGGAAGTTGGTTCCTTACTGTGCTCTCCAAATAGAGCAGTTCTACTTCCTTAGCCAAAGCCAACGTAATCTAATACTCAAATCTCAAAATCTAAACAAAATAAACTTTGTAATGTCAAAATCATATTAACTATAAATTATTAATAATTTGTTAATAATTGCTTACCAGTCATCCATCTTTAACTGTTTGACACTGAGAAAGTGCATTTGAGATGCAACTCTGTTGGGACTAGGCAGTTCTGAAAGACCTGGCAAATGCTCTGCTGATACCAAAGTCTTCACTGGTAAGAAATGCATTAAGTACATTATATATATTTATATACTGGTTGGGTTTTTTTTGTTTGTTTTGGTTTTTTTGTGGTTTTTTGTGTTGCTTTTTTTTCTGATCCTGCTTTCTGAGATCTGATGAAAACTTTGGGAAGGTTCACTTAGACTTGAAGCTTTGGTTTCAGAGTGGCACATTGGGCTGTCAGCCCTGAACTCAGGGCAACTGGACTGGATGAATGTTGTAGGTCCCTTCCAACTGATCTGTTCTGTTCTGTATCTCTTACTAATATTGTAATCTCTTCATAAGAGAGAGAACAGGGTTCTCCATGACACTGTTTGCATCCCCTCAGTGGTTCCCATCACAGGTTCTGCAAAAAGTGCAGGAAGCTCTAAAGGAGACAATTCAGGAAGAATTAGCTCATAAAGGAAGTTTTCCCCATAATCCTTCCAGTAAGCATGCAGGCTTTGCCTTGGCAGGCTGAGATTGTTGTTCTTTATTTGTTTCTTGTTTTCATCATCCTGTAAATATGAATTCAAGGTACTGGCAGCTGAACTCCCTGACCTTTTATTATACACAAGAGAGATTGTGGAATTGGTTTATTTTTCCCTAATGTTCCTTTGCTTGTTTTCAACTTCCTGCTCTTCAGTTTCATTAACTAAACAAAGACTTGCTGCTAGTTACCCTTAGCAGCTTATGCAGTAACAGGCCGTCTCTGCTTGCTCTGGGTATTAAAGATACCTATCTTCATTAAGTCTAGAAGCTGCTTTTAGAGTAGAACAGTGGAATAGTTAATTTTAAAGTTTAAAACTTTTAGAAAACAATGTTTTTCAGTAATCTGGTGTGAGAGAACGTTTTTTCTTCTGTTCAGCTATGACACTGACACACTAAGAAAAAATACATGAAGCAAATTCAGGCTCTGTAGCTCTGGAGTGTGTCTGTGCTGCTGATCTTGTAACACCTCCACAACTTCATGAGAAATGTCACAGGCAAGTAAATGTCATGCATGCTTTCAGCTAGCCTTGGCACCCTAATCAGGATGAGTAAACAGGACAAGCAGGGTGGAGGGGGCAGCAGAAAGGCCAGTAAAAGCACATAACTCCAAGTGGTCCAGAAAGTGGTAGTTTCTTTCCCAGTATGAATGTGAGTGTGAACTTACTCCTTTCAAACGTTCTGGCCCAAGAATACTTCCCTGAGAGGCGTAACTAAGATGATAATGGTGTCTTAGTGAAGAAGGGATGAAACAGTATTCCTTGAACAGGGTGGCAGGAAGGGAGCACAGAAGTGAACTGAGGAAGGACGAAGGGAGGTGAAAAGCAGAGTGTTTGACAAGCTCTTGCATCCCTTTTTAGGTCTGTGCAATGAGCTGGATTCCACTTCTTTCCTAAGAAGTTTTCCCAAGCAGATAACCTTAAGGTGACTGACTTTATTCCACAAGAATTCAGTACCCTCAATAGGACTTTCAGGAATTGCAATTTAGAATTCCCTTGAGATTGCAGTGAAGCACTCATGGATCTCTACCCTTCTTGAACTAGTTTTCTAGTAGTTATTTTTGCCTTCTGTAAGGAAAATTACTGTTTTAAAAGCAGTGTCTGGTAAATTTATAGCCAACATTTGGAGCCCTCTGAGCTACGTGGATTTCCAAACTAGTAAATGTAAACTAGTCCTGGTCTTATCAAGGTGTGTATGTTCTTCTGCCAGCATTAGCACTAAATCTTTGGGTAGGGTGATTAGAAAGTGGGTCTAGAAAGTCAGAAATACTACAGGCACGTAATTGCCAGCTGCTGTTTGATAGCATGTATTGCAGCAGGGGACTGCTGTAAGAATCACAGAATGGAATGGACCTGTATTATGTATATTTTATCAGCCTGCTTATATACTCCTTGGAGTATTGTAAGAGAAAAGCAGCTAGCTCCCACTGCTACGTGCAGGTTCTGCAGATGGTGTTTATGATCAGTATACCCTCAAGGGCAGACATCCTAGGAAGGTCGAGAGGTATGCAGAGGGACCACTGCCATTACCTGCTGCTGTAAATGCTGTCACTTGGGTAGGAGACATGCCATGTCCCAGCAGTGTTATTGCTGCATCTAACTGTGGATGCATGCAAATAGGTCCATGCTGAAGGTACATTTTGGAGTTAGCCTCCCATAGAGCATGTTGGTTTGAAACTGCAAAGTCATCTGTGCTGCTTCAAGCACAGGTCCTCCTCTGAGAGCTGCAGGTGAGAGCAGGCCCTCCTGGCCACAGGCTCAAGCTGCTGGATCTGGAGTGCAGAAAGTTATCATGGAAAATGGCACCCACAAGTCATTATTTGCAGTTTGTCCACTACAGGCTGCTGGGGCTTTCCGTCTCTTTCATCTGTATCACTTGTAAGCAGCCTGTTTTTCCATGTGGAAGTTACTCACTTTTTGTCATGTGCTGCTGAGGGGTTTAGGTGGGGAAATGAGAGTGCTAGATCAGCCTGTGCTGACCAGCATGATGCCTGTCTCTTCTCAATAACATATTATGCTCTCTCAACCGGAATGTACTATGTTTTTCCTATGGGTTCTCACACAAGAGGAGAGTGTGGGAGGACCAAATGTCACCACTATGTCATGTAGCTTTGTAAGTGACCTTTTCATTACCCTATATGCACTCCTGGATGTATGGAGTGTGGCCACTTCTCATCTCAAGACTTGGGTAGGAAGCTGAGGGTATAAGGAAAGAAAAAAAAAAAGAAATAAAATTAATAAATACGATGCTTTTTGTGTAAACAATGTGAAGAAGTGCACATATTACACGTTTCATGCTGGACTGCATCCGCAGGCCAATGCACCAGTTTTGAATGGTAGAACCAGAAAGAGCCAACACATGACAAAGCAACATCTGAACTGAGAAGTCTTCATTCAAGGCAAAACCTTCCTGTACTTGCACAGGCTCACATAAGTCGTGACATCTGTCTTTCAGCTCAGATGTTTCAAACTGTACTGTAGTTCTGACTGCCTTACAAACTAATAGTGTTATGATGGGATGTGCGTTTAAAGCTCATGTACCCAGAAGAGGTGTTTGGGAACAGCTGTTCCTTAATCATTCCCCACAGAGACATGCACAGCCGTGTATCTAGAATACACTTTCTCCCTGTCTGCTTAGCGCTTGCTAAGCAGAGACAGGGTAACAGACACTAATGACTTTTTTGTTTGTTTGTTTATTGCAAACAAAGATCTCAAAGGGTCCAAGAAGTTCTCCCCCTTTGGACCAAGCTTCTTCCTTCCTGTTCTGCGCTTGTTTCCTTTGCTGGCTCTCTTCCTTGAATGTCAGGCCATCTGCTCCTTCCCCTCAGCTTGGAGGGCCTGGCAGTTGTACAGGTGCTCCCTAAGCTTTGCTGTTGCCTGAAGAATTTCCTGCTGTCACCAAGGCTGCTTTCTGCATTTTGCAGTTCCAATTTCTTTCTCAGCTAAAGTGGTACGTTTGCAACAAAACAAAGTCATAGCTGGTATTTGTGCATTGATACTCTCAGGAAGAAAGGCAATGTGCTGAAAGATCCCCTACATACAAAAACACTGCTTGTGGAAAAGGAGGTGGAGTAGGGTCACAAGCTGTGGAGCAGCTCCAGGACAGTCTGAGGAAACAGGTTGCTTCTCTCTTCTATATCACCTTCCCCTTTATCTTTTTATATGCCTTTCTATTTAGACAGAAAATCATAGCATCATACAATGATGTCCTAGACAATTTTTTTAAAAAAACAACAAACCGACCACATTCAAGGATATAGTGTTTAAAGCACTGATCTGCAGAGTGCAAGACACGTTTAATGAATCCTGCATTCAACATGAATCAGACTATGAAGTACTTGAGATATGTAAGAGTTTGCAAGTAGATGAGAGCTATCCAAAGCTATAACCTATACTGTGACTTCTGATGAGGTTGCTGTACTTTCTTTTGTGCAAAATATTTTTAAGGTTTCGTTTTAGCACAGAGGAAAAGCAAATGCAGTAACCTCACCACTTTCATGAAACTGAGTGCTTGTTTTCTGGCCAGGTCTAA